AAAGTCAATTTTAAAGTTAATTTAAAAAAATACATATATACAGGAATCTCTGGTAGCTACTCTATAGGGAATTGAGCTGCTTACCCAAAGGCCATACCTTTCTGATGATTCAAATCCAAAAGCATCTCAGCTGGAGAAATATGGGGAACCTCTTCTTATATATTTTACAGGCTCAAAAACATATTGAAGGGTCAGCTGTGATTAGGTTCAGACTCGACAGCAAAGACTTTGAAATTTACCTTCATATTCTTAAAAGGAAGGTGCAAAAGTGCTATCACATTTTTCTTCTAAGATACTGTGTCACAATAGTTTATACAAATAATCATTCTTGATTTGTGGAACATAAGGCTGAATTTTTAAAAATAAAATCCACTATAAGATCCAGAAATAAAAAAGAAAATTATCTTAATGCTTTGAAATCACCAAAGGAATTTGAGTTGTTAGGGAGGATAACTTAGCTCACTCTAGTGCCATAGTCCTTAGCTTGTTGTGCTGCTGACCAAGAAGCTGCTAGCCTCCAGCAACTCAAATCTAACAGCAGCCCTACAGGAAAAAATGGAAGTCTTCTCAGTTAATATGTGCAGCCTAGGAAACGTGATGGAAGATCATTGTGTGTCAGAACTGACTCGATGGCATGGTAAAGCAACAATTAATTACAATAAAGCTCAACTTCAGCCAGTGACCTGGCTTGAAAAAGTTTGAAAGATTCAGAGCAAAATCAGAATACAGTCATCTTTTTAAAAGATGGATTTATCTCAAACAGGTGGTTTTAGAGAAAGGCTTGGTAGTTCAGTAAAAAAGATCATAAAATGGTCATGGTGGAAAAACTGAGAACAATTTTTCTGTCTCCCATTTGCTAGTGAAGTAAACCTGAGTTAATAATACTTTTATCTTTCATTTCTCTCATCTGTAAATAGATATTAGTAAAGTTGTTGTTGTTATGTGTCGTCAAGTTACCTGCAGCTCATAGGACCCTGTGTACAATGGCCCTAAATCCTGCTCTATCCTGTGCTAATCTCACTGTCTCCAATACACCTACCCCCATTACTCCAGCCACTGAATAAATTGAATCAATCTACCTCATAAAGGGTCTTCCTCTCCTGCGCTGTCCCTCCACCCTCCCAAGCATAATGATATCTCTATTACAATTATTTTCTAAAACAAATTCATTACTTATATATATTTTTTGATAATATGAAATACTATTGTGTTTGTACTTTGAAATTAGTGTTGCCAGAGCTATTCAATGGTTACTTAATTATTTTAATTATGTCAAGATGAAAAGTGCTTTGGGGACAGAGAATAAAGGCAGTCCATCTTCCAACTCTAGAAAATGATTATTAGGTGAGAATGCATAGTCTGTGAGTTTGGACAGAAAATATTTCAGCATCCTTTAGATTTTATAAAAGCAAAGATATTCTTTCCAAGTTCAAACAAGCTAACTACCCAGCAGTAGACAGGAGATAACTTTTCAAGCACTAATTAAATTGATCTCATGAATGTGGATTTTGCAGTTCTAAGTTAGTAGATGGAATGGAGGATATCTCATAAGTCTCAGTAATAGGTAAAGGAATGCAGCATCACCAGCACACGAGAAATAAAAGAGCCCATAATAGAGTTCTGATCCAACTCAGCCAGTCAGGTAAGCGTTCGCTCTGTCTTCCCAGAAGCAGCATTTTGCTTTGGATGACTACAGGTGCTTCTGGAATTACTCATTTAAATGAGTCTTTAGGCCCCAGATAAAATGACCACTGATTTTAATGTCAGGGTAAGGGAACACAGATGAACCAATAAAATACCACAAGTCCAAGAAAATGGTTTTCCTTCTTGCCAGAGCTATTTTGGGAACAGTAGTGAAAAAAATCATGTTTTAAAACAACCCAAAAAGCTTAAGATAGGAAAACCTCATTATAACAGAGCTCCTTATTAAATGGATTCATTTGAGGTGGGATCCAATCAGCAGGACCATAAACATAATGATAGCCATAAAGGCTTGATATCGCAGCCAAAGTAGGTGAGGGCAGGTGGGCAACATAAAACTTTTTCCATTTCCAGAGAATTTCTGCCCATCATAGCTGGTACTTATTTGCTAAGTCTTAATTTGCAAGCTCAGTAATCCAAAGGATCTACTGAATAAGTATCAAATCTGCTTTCAAAGATAGCAACACACAGGAATCGGAGGAGTCCTGAAATAGCCATCCTTGCTGCAGCATCAGCAGGGCCTACAGTTGAGCTCCTGAGCCCCATCAGTTGAAACTATGAAGATGGGATACCTGAGTCTATGCTCCCTTGTTGAGGTCAGAGTGACTCACAAATGCTGGGAAATGATAGGACAGAACATTTCCATCCTACTCTTCTGGAAGGTATTAGAAATTTCATTTCAGTGCATTCATTGTTCTGTATTTTAGGTCCAGGTGTAGGAACTTAGATGTTCACCTTTATCTTAACCTCTCTTTTAATCAGGGTACTGAGAGTAGGAGAATTTCCATTTTCTGAGCCATAAATTCAAATATCTTGCCACAAATGAGAGAATGGAGATGCTAAACCTTAAATTAATTTGACCCCTTTACTGTAATTCAAGCTATGTCAGTGATGAGAATATTAATAAAGCAAAAGATTTTGCATTAAATATTTTGCTGCTTACCAAAAAGAAGTAACGTGATGTTCCAAAGTCTAAATTTGGAGTTCAAATGTAGAGTTGGTTTAAATATAGGAATGGACAGGTAATTAGCATGTATTAGTGGTTCAAAATTGGGAAGGGTATGCACCAGGGATGCATCCTGTCTCCATACTTTTTCAACATGTATGCAGAGCAGATTATCCGAGAGGCTGGGCTCTATGAGGAGAATTGTGGCATCAGGATTGGTGGAAGATCTATTAACAATCTGTGTTATGCAGATGACACAACCCTGCTTGCTAAAACTGAGGAGGACCTCATGCACTTGCTGCAAAGGGTCAGGGACTGCAGCCTTCAGTATGGACTGAGGCTCAATGTCATGAAGACAAAGATTCTCGCCACTGGACCAATTGGCAGCATCAGGATGGATGACAAAGAGATTGAGATTGTTCACAGCTTCAGTTTGCTCGGCTCCACAGTCAACACTCTTGGCACCAGCAGTCAGGAAATCAAAAAGCGTATCGCGATGGGAAAGTCTGCTGTTAGGGACCTCTCTAAAGTACTCAGGAGCAAAAGTGTCTCTCTGGAGACTAAGGTGCGCCTGATACAGGCCATGGTCTTTGCAATCGCTTGTTATGCATCAGAGAGTTGGACAATGACTAGGGAGGACAGAAAGAGAGTGGATGCTTTTGAGCTGTGGTGCTAGAGAAGAGTACTGAATGTACCATGGACTGCCAGGAAAACAAACAGATTCATCTTGGAGAGAATTAAACCAAGCTACTCCTTGGAGGCAAGGATTCTGGGGCTTCGTCTGACATACTTTGGACATGTTGCCAGGAGGGACGGGTCCTTGGAGAGGGACATCATGCTTGGGAGGGTGGAGGGACAGCGCAGGAGGGGAAGACCCTCTATGAGATGGATTGACTCGGTGACTGGGGTAATCAGGATGGGTGTGTCAGAGGCAGTGCGGTTGGTGCAGGAT